TTAAAAGCTTCACTTTCGGATCCACAGAAAAAGCTGCACTTCATTTGATTACATTAGTTGAAAAAAATGGCTTTTGTTTTGTAGGTGCATTAACATAGAAAAGCAGGTAATTTTTTCTAGAAATTTTCATGCGGTTATCTGACCTCTATCACGGTATGGTCGACGTAGTTCATGCGGCTACGGCGATTACTCGTAGATTGTGACATTTTGATTTAGTTACTATTTAATTATATCAGTTAAGTTCTAAATGAACTACAATTTCGACATTTAAGTCAACCCTAAATCTGTGTTTCAACAATGGCTTATAAAACGGTTTTGCCTGTAGACAAAATAGCCCGAAAGCTATGGTGAGCCTAAAATTGTGTTGAGGCTGACTTTTAATCTCTAAAAAAGCAAAAAGTTCGATACTCTATCTTTTTTCTATGTTGCCTAGATAGAACATTCAACGAGCACTCTCAGTTAGGATGTATATCTGCTTTTGATCGAGCTTAAGGAAAGAATTTTTGATTTCAATAAACTCACCTCTTCTTTTTCTACAAGTTCTTGCGCCTCTAGAGGTATGCAGTAATTATAAAAGTCTCATTATTGGATGGCAGTTAAATTAGTAAAAATTTCCCCATAACTAAAAAAAGGATTACCATATTTATAAATTTCAGGGTCCTCGTATTATACGTCTTGAATTATCTTACATTGATAGTAGCTTTATTTGACAAAATGGATGCTATAAGAAAAAAGGAGCCTGTCGAGTCGGTAGAAATTAGAGAGAAACGTCAATTGGGCGGCAGAAATCCAGTAAGTTGAGGAAAATTTCTATATTTAATAGCAAGAGATATGGATAGGCCTCATTTCAGCATATACCACGCCCACCACCATATGCTAGCAGAACATTCGAGAATCGTACGGATATGCTCCGTTTCATAGCAAAAAGTACTCAACGGTTTGAACAAACGCGAACTACAAGGGATGTAGCGACGACAGCATTTACCGTAAGAATAGCCCTCAATTGCCTGATTTG